TTTTTTGTTCGCTGTGCTGCCATTTTTCCACCAATGAGAGTGCAGTACATGTTTGAAACGATCCTCTGGAGATGTTAATCCTTATATCGGCACGATATAACCGATTACAAATATTTTACTTTTCGGTTCGTTAATCGATTAATCAATTATTCGTAAGAAAATCGGCCATCACTAGATGAATGTGAAACGTCATTTCAAATATAAGGACCGTACATAAATAATGATACAATTTGAGAGGGACCGGTGCTAATCACAAATTACGTCCCCACGGTAACTGAAATAAACACGAGTGTTCACCGGTTGCTAATACTGCCCTGAGTACTACCTTTCAGAGTGAGACGTGAAAAGGACCGCGCTGCATTTGTCTTGGTTTTCTGCTGCTGCTGCTTTCGTGGATCCCAACCGGTTTCGTATTTCCTTTTCTTCGGATTGGAGCTTCTCATTCCAGATCCAGATTGTTTTCCCTTCTCGGCAGAACGGTACGACGGTTTTTTTCTCGTTTTTGTTTTCAAAGCAACAAAATAACAATCGAATGTAAACATTATATACAGTGGTGCCAGAATTGATTAAAAAATGCTTATCACGCGTGCAAGCTCGCTACAAGGTTGTTTGTGGTTGTTTGAAGTGTGTTTAGTTGGGTGTTAGCACAATATGGCAGAGTGACGGGTGGCAAAATATTAACGTACAGCTATCCCATAGAGGTAACTGTAAGACTAGAAGGTTCCGAAGAAACGTGCTCAACTTTTTGGCCCAGCTCTGGTACTCTCTTCGGTCCCAAGCTAATCGACGCACCCCTCGAAACATAGGAAAATCCACGAACCCCTCTGTTGACGCCGGGATAGACTGGCCGATACTCAGGGCCGGGGGTGCAGTAATCTTACGCACGAAATCACTTTAAAGTAAAATTGTCCACTTTATTTACACGTATATAAAATTCTTACTACACCCTTTCCCAGTCTGTGGGCGAGAGGTGCGGCAGGTCGAGCGAGCGCGCGCGATGCACGGAGCTTGTCCGTGCACAAGAGGACCGTTTGCTTCGGCGGTCAACAAACTAACTGCTGGTTTGATTTGCTACTACTACTGAGGTGCTGTTGTTGCTGTTCAGGAAGGGGGGGGTGGAGAGCAGTTGGAAGTTTACACTATCTCCTATACTGTCCTTGTATACGATTGACCAGCTGTATATATTTCCATCGATCCTGTGGGTATAGATAGGACAATAGCACAGAACAGAAGGGGAAGTGCAAACAAATCGGTGAATCAAAAAGTGTTCGTTTTTCTGCTCAACGAGCGATGTGATGTGGTAGCGTTCCACATGGGCTTTCTATGTGCACTCACACTATCATAGCATGCTGCCTATCTTAACTGCAGGCCGAAGATGCCTTCTACCGCTAGGTGCACTAGTGTTCGCAAATGACCAGTGGAGCCACTTTCTGATTCGAAGTTCCACTCCTGTGACAATTGCCTCCAGTCTGCCCGTATGATCATATGAGATCTGTGAAGAATAGTGGAGAAGCTCAAAATAGTCCAAAAACTATTGTTTTTCAGCATCGACTGCTATCAGCTGTTTAGGTAGAGATGATACGATAACAGTGGAATCTCAAGTAAGGTAGCAAGGGGCATGAAGTAGTTCGCCTCCTCGTGGTGTGCCCTGGAAACGTTAATTATCGAACCCAAGGGAGAGATATTGCGGCTAAACGAACTACCGCAGAGAAGCCCTGCACCCTCGTTGTGCAAAGGCAGGAGTGACGCCGGGTTCTTAGTGCTTAGCACAAGCAGCTGGTAAGCGGTCACATCTGTCCTAAGCTACCCTGTTGGACAGTTGGCTGGCTATCACGTCTGCTTAGAACCGAGGCGAACAACGAACAGCGAACAACAAGAGGAGGTTGAGAAGCCCTGCACAAAACCCTCGTTGTGCAAAGGCAGGAGTGACGCCGGGTTCTTAGAGTGCTTAGCACACGCAGCTGGTAAGCGGTCACATCTGTCCTGTACGGGCCCTGGACAGTTGGCTGGCTATCACGTCTGCTCTAGAACTCAGACGAACAAAGAACAGCGAGCAACAAGAGGAAGGCCCTGCACAGCTGCTCACTGTGCAGTAGCGAGTGTCACGTCGGACACAACACCTAGTGATGCGCCATAGCGCAACCGGCCCCCTCCCATGACGTAATGCTTTCGGGCGGTTCCGGGGAGGGCAAGGGCCTAGAGCACAGGGTAAGGTTTAGTGGGTCGGGAGAGCTACTTCTCCCATCCCCACACCCTGAGTTATCTTCTCAGGTGTCTGGGAGCAGATTCCCCCCTGTATAAAAAAAAAAAAAAAAAAAAAAGTAAGGTAGCAAGGAGAGAATCTGCCTTTCTGCACTATGGGCTATGAGTGGGTGCCCATGGTGGTCAAAATAAGTATAATATTAAGCAGTTCACGTTCGGCGTGAACACCCTCATTTAATCTGTCAAACTTTCATATCGAATCAAAACAAACACTATGTACTAGTATTTCGACTAGAATGGGGTACGTTAATCGATTTGCTTGGGACCAATAGGCTAGTCAAGTAGTGAGCCAATTTAAAATCGTTAGTTTCGTATTGATTGTTGGTAGAAGTCCTTCTCAGGAGTCTGCGTTGAATACGGTGACGAATGGTTTCCGCTGCACAGTTAAAGTCGAAAAACTCGTAAAACTCGTTGAAACGCCCAGACATGAACCGTATTGGGCCATGCAAGCTGTAGCTCGCAGCACGAGGTCCAAGATGCAGGAAACTCCTCGGCCGAAGAACTCGTTCGAGTGCGTAGATTTCGAATTCAGCCAAGATTCCTGGAGAGTCGATATCACCAATGAGTACTTTCGCTGCGATCACGGCCTGACTAATCGTCCACCTATGTTCTAGTGTTTCAAGACCCAGGAGTTGACAACGATCTTCGTACGGCGGAAGGTTCACAGGGTCATTCCAAGGAAGGTGACGAAAGGCATACCGAACAAATTTCCTTTGAACAGATTCAATCCTCGCTATCCAAACTGCTTGATACGGGCACCATACTACCGAGCTGAATTCCAAGATCGATCGCACTAGAGAGCAGTGTAGATCTTCACATCATCTGCGTAGAATGATCGGCAACCAGTTGGGAGGATCAGTCCGGCCTCATTCACAAAAATCGAGAATAGTAATGGTCCCAAGTTGCTACCTTGAGGAACACCGGAGCTGTTTGTAAAATAGTCCGATTGCTCTGATCCGATTCTAACACAAAGTTCCCGATTTGTCAGATAGGACTTGAACCAACGAGTTAACCCCGAGGATACATCGAATTTTTCAAGTTTAGCTAGCAGTATGGAGTGGTCAACCCGTTCGAATGCAGCCGTAAGATCTGCGTATACAACGTCCACCTGCGCTCCAGCTTCCATACTCCGAAGACATAAAGAAATGAACGGAGCTAGATTTGTAGAAACTGATCTCTTGGGATAAAAACCGTGTTGGTCAGGAGAAATGTAATTTCTGCAGCTAGAGAATAATGCGTCGTTGATGATGATTTCGAAAACTTTAGAGCAGGCACTGAGTGATGTGATCCCTCGGTAATTTTCGACGTTTCTCTTGTCTCCTTTCTTGTAGATCGGGAACATGAATGACGATTTCAAACGCGTAGGGAATTCCCCCTGCTGTATGATGGTCACAAATGCCTTACCAAATTGATTTGCTACCCAAGTGCCCAACAAACATTCGAAGCAGAATAAGAGCTTTTTCATGCAAAAATATGCTTCTTCAGCAAAAAAAATGGCTTATTCAGCCTTTAATCAGTTCAAATTGTTAGTTGAGTGATCAATCTTTGTTGTGAATTTCGCGAAAAAACACGAGGAGCATTTTTTTAGCAAAACTTGCCATGCGAAATGCTTAATGTTCATTAAATTAAAATTTTTAGCAACCAAATTAACACTTCTTCTTTCTCTGCTACCTTTTAATCTATCCATCTCGGTCCATTACGTCCAGTTGAATGTAGTGGATTTCGATCGTAGTTGTCATCGATTTAATTAAAAATTGTAATCAATTGCATTCTTGGTTATGGCTTATTTCTAATGCAATTGTGGCCAAATTTAACAAAAAATTGGGAATTCAATACAAACTGTGACAAGTTTCACGTAGATATTTACATACAATTTTTTAGTTTGCACACAGTCAATATTACCATAGAGGTAACTCTAAGACAAGAAGGTCCCGAAATAACGTGCTCAACTTTTTGGCTCAGCTCTGGTACTATCTTCGGTCCCAAGCTAATCGATTCACCCCTCGAAACATAGGAAAAATCAATAACCCCTCATTTTATCAGTCAAATTGTCATAGCGAATCAAAACAAACATTGCGTAGTACTAGAATTTCGACTAGAATTGGGTCGTTAATCGTTTGCTTGGGACCAATAGGCTAGTCAAGTAGTGAGCCAATTTAAAATCGTTAGTTTCGTATTGATTGTTGGTAAATATTACCGTAGTCAATCAATTCTAAATGTATAATAAATCAACGCACCCCTCGGAGGTCACTCACTGTTCACAGCTACATTTTTCTGTCGTTCCCATCCACAATTGCAACAAACTTAATGTCACGTCAAGTGTCAATCCCAACGCAACATTCTCACGAGATCCTCTCTCTCTCTTCGATGCACCACCCACCGCAGGCTCATTACAATACTGAGTGCCGCCGTGTTTACGTTCGGAAGCTCCCTCGCTTAGCGCTCTTCAGTCGGTGTTAATTCGCGGAATTCTTGCATCTTCCGCGGAAAAGTGTACTTCACCCAAAGGGGTTGTTATCAGTGTGTTGCGTGTTCGGGTGTTTCATCGCTAGTGTCATTGGGCAGCAATTTGTGTAAGTTTTTTTTTCACGACTGCGACGAACGACGAAACTTCAAGTGGTGCTGCACGGTGGTGAGTACCTTCTGAATGCATTTTTTTCGCGATTCTTCTGAAAGTCAAATCCGCGCGGTGAAGTTGCTGCGCAACAGCAACCCGCACTGCAAACAGCAGTGCAATCTGTCAGAGTTTGTTGTTGATTATTCTGCAAAGCGTGAGTTCCGATTTGTTTACGGTGCTATCCGCCAGCTGTTCGCTGGAGACTGTGTTTTGATCCAGTATTCAAGAAGGATGTCGTTCCGTTCCGGAGATCAGGTAGCCTTGAGTTTCCACGAATCGTGTCTGCGGCTGTCGGATGTGGAACTGCTGAAGGGGCCGTACTGGCTGAACGATCAGATAATTTCGTTCTACTTCGAGTACCTGGAGAATCTGATCTTCAAAGATGAAGAAGATTTGCTGTTTGTCAGTCCAGAAGTGACCCAGTGCATCCGGATGGTGTCCGAGGCGGAGGTTGGCATATTTCTGGAACCGTTGAAAGCTGCGCAGAGGTCGTTTATATTTTTTGCACTGAACGATAACCAGATTGCGGATCAGGCAGGTGGGTCGCACTGGAGTTTGTTGGTGTTCTCCCGGCCGGAAATGGTGTTCTACCACTTCGATTCGTCGTACAACAGCAACTCGGAGATCTGTCGGCAGTTTGTAACGGCACTGAAGCGAGCTTTAAACTGTCCCAAGGCACAGCTTCGGTCCGGAGATTGCCTGCAGCAGAGCAATGGGTACGACTGCGGAGTGCATGTGCTGTGTACCGTGGACAAGGTGACGCAGCAGATCCGGAAGACGAGGAAGATCGAGGGCGTCAAGAGCGCCCGGTACGATGTGATCCGAGGCAAGCGGGAGGAAATTCTAAACATCATCATAGACCTGGGCGGGAGAATCAACTAGAGAATGCACCAGTTCACGAATTCTTTCCACCGGAAGTGCTTTCTTAGCGATTAACAGAATAACTCCAAACCACCACCACCGGTGGACGAAAATTCTAGTTTGCTGGACGCAGGTCAACACTTCAATGTAGAGTAACAAATCTGATGTATCGTACACTTGCTGTTTTAAATAACTGTATATTTTTAGAATGTGTTAACTTGTAGACGGAAAATTGACGTTATGCATATTTTCTAGATTGTAGTAATTTATTTCACCTCAATAGCGATCGACGGAATATAGTTCTAATTATTCAGTTGCACAATCTCAAGATAAAGCATTAGTAATTATTTACAATATCACCTATTCCGAGGCTTTAATTATAGAAGACAATTCCATGGGAAAACCAAAACATTGAAAACGTTTTTTATCTGACTGTCTGCTACCTGGGAAAATCTGAAAATCTAAGAGAATTCCATGCCTGGAAAAGTAGGGATTTTTTTTTATCTCTGGGAAATTTTTCTCAATCCTTATTAATAACACCATTGAAAACTATAATGATATCACCACTCATGCGAGAAAGTGAAACAATGTTAGGAGCCTTAAAGTACGTTCAGACTACAGAGTTATAACATGTCATAGCGCTATCTTGATGGTGGTTTCTGTGTTGCAATTATTTGACAACCGTTATAACATGTTATAACTCTGTAGTCTAAACAAGGCATTAGGCCCCTGGCAGAGTAAAAGCTGGTGACCGAGTTGGTAGATTCACATGTTAAACTTGTGACAAATTTGTTGTCGGATTAGCGGGGTAGATCCGATAATCCGACTGCCCAATCCATACAAATCAATGTAACCAACCTAACAACAGGCTTGCAATTGCTCATTACAGCTAAAATGCTATTTTTCGTTACTATGAAACAATGGGATACTGTAATGATAATTTTTATTTGTAAGATAAAAGAAGAGGTGGTAAAGTTTGTAGGTATATGACATATAAAATTTGTCAATTTTGCTTTCAGAAGGTCACAATTAGCGATTTTATGATCGCTAATTGCTCGCTCATCGCGTTGCTCATCGTTACAGCTAATCGCTAGTTGCGACCCTCTGAAAGCTAAATTGACATGTACACCCCTATTCTGTATTTCTTTTTTTTTTTTAAATGCGTTTATTTTTCTAGGCTTATTTGCCGTAGCTTTGCGGAGCCGATATTCATTGTTTGGATGACAAAATTTCTTAAAACTAACGTTAGTAAAGCGGGGGCCGATTACTCGCGGCTATCTCGAGGTTAGGGGTAACAAATTGTAACAAATGGATGGCAGGGTAGGGATTGAGAACACAAGGTTTGGAGAGCAATGTGCTTTTTATCTCGAACTAAGCGACCAACTGACGAAAAAGACAAACATGGGGGTACACCGATGGGCAGCTAACAACTTGGAGGAACACAAGATGACACTAACTACTAAATCCTCAGATCGATCCGTTTTAAAAACACATAAATTAAATTAAAATATTCGAGATCTCGGCTCGCCAAGATGTCTCTAACGGGCCGCATAGGTTGTTTTCCTCGGGCCCTGAGGGATGCGGATAACTCGGATCTAGCAACACAATGTAGGGTGCATGACCAAAGCACGTGGTCGATATCGTGATAGCCACTACCACAAGCGCACAAATTGCTGCCTGCGAGCCCGATTCGGAAGAAATGCGAGTCTAACGAGTAGTGATTGGACATGAGCCTTGATATGACACGTATAAAGTCACGGCTCATGTCCAATCCTTTGAACCATGGCTTGTTCGACACCTGTGGGAGAATAGAATGTAACCATCTTCCCAGATCACTCTCATTCCATTTTTGTTGCCAGTTGGTGAGGACGTGCTGACGGGTAATTGAGAAAAATTCCGCAAAGGCGATTTGTCGATCAAAAATATCGCCTTCCATAGCGCCCACCTTAGCTAGCGAGTCCGCTTTCTCATTACCCGGAATTGAGCAATGTGATGGGACCCAAGCTAAGGTGATAGTAGGAGCAGTTAGATAAAGTACTCAATTTTGCTCGGATTTCGGTCAGGAAATACGAGGAGTGCTTCATCGGCCTCATTGATCGAATAGCCTCCAACGAGCTAAGGCTATCAGTAAAAATAAAATAGTGATCAGATGGTAGTGAGGCAATTTGCTCTACTGCGTAAAATATGGCTGCTAGTTCCGCAACGTATACGGAACAGGGTTTTTGCAGTTGATATGAGGCGCTATGAAATTCGTTGAATACTCCAAATCCAGTGGAAGCGTTTATAGTTGACCCATCTGTGAAAAAACTCTTATTGTTACTAACATGGTGGTACTTGTTTGCAAAAATTAAGGGAACAACCATCGATCGATGGTGATCTGGTATTCCACAGATCAAAATTTACAGAGGAACTATAAAAGTCTTGGAGGCAAACACGAGAGGAATTGAATGAAGAAGGGCCAATCTCCAGCGTCATGTACTCGTAATAGAGACTCATGAATCTTGTTTGAGGATTTCTGTCGAGCAGCTTCTCAAAGTTTTCTATTACTAATGGGTTCATTACTTCACAACGGATAAGAAACCGGAAGGACAGTTCCGCGAAACGATCTGTCAGTGGGAGAACACCCGCGAGTACTTCGAGGCTCATCGTATGCGTCGAGTGCATACAGCCAAGCGCGATTCGGAGGCAACGGTATTGAACCCGTTGCAGCTTCAGGATATGTGTTTTCGCCGCGGATTGAAAGCAGAAGCTTCCGTACTCTAGAACCGACAAGATGGTTGTTCGGTACAACCTGATCAGATCTTCCGGGTGTGCTCCCCACCAAGTTCCAGTGATTGTACGAAGAAAATTGATTCTTTGTTGGCATTTTTGTTTCACATACGCAATATGTTTTCCCCATGTGCTTTTGGAATCGAACCAGACACCTAAATACTTGAAAGATATACTTTGAGTGATTGTTCTACCCTTTAGTTGAAGCTGTAACTGTGCAGGATGATGCTTCCTAGAAAAAACAACCAACTCAGTTTTCTCCGGAGAGAATTCGATACCCAGCTTCATAGCCCAAGTAGACAAATTGTCTAAGGTATCTTGCAATGGTCCTTGCAGGTCCGGTGCACTTGGCCCTATAACGGATACAACGCCGTCATCTGCAAGCTGCCTTAGCGAGCAATTTTCATCAAGACAACCATCAATGTCTTTTACATAAAAATTATAAAGAAGGGGGCTTAAACATGAACCCTGGGGGAGACCCATGTAACTAATTCGTGAAGTTGTCGAGTTTCCATGAGAAAAGCTCATATATTTCTCAGACAACCATTCTGTATTTCGTTCGAAACGAAATTCCTATACAAAAAAAATATTTTTTTGCATTAGAATTTCATTTCGAACGAAATACAGAATAGGGATGGTTTTATGTGTCACACACACACTTCACCTTCTGTTCTTGCATCTTGTAAATAAGAATTACCAATAAAATATCTCATAGCTTCATAAATCCGAAAAATAGAATTTTAGCTGTAATGAGTATTTGCAAGCTTGCCTCACAATGCCCAAAAAAGTTCCATCAGAGACCGTAATGTCAGATTACCAACAGCCGGATTAGCGGGGGGATACTGTATCGCTTCAACCATGTCTGGAATTTTTCAGAAAAACAACTGGAATATCAGGAAATTTAATTTCCATCTCTCGCAGTTCCCAAGAACTTGTCCAACAGTCTTAAAGACTTTCATTGAACTTCATTCGCACAATTTGAAAATTTACCAAAAACACAAAAAAAAAAACATTTTAATAATCATTTCAAACCATGTATATTTTCTCGATAATAAAAAATATGTCACCTTCTAATTGTAAAAGGCCTATGCCGAAATGCTCGACTGTGATTACACGCACACTTGCAAACAGCTCTCCTGCATATTAGACACTCAAGTAAGTTTAAATAGTTTCTTTCAGTTACGCCTCCTCTCACCCTCAAACCCACTATGTGACGTCCGGAAATCACTGGTCCCATATGTCCGCGCAAGCCTTCCTAGAACCCTACCGTTGTTAGGCCAACACCTCCGGTGCAACCCATCCTCCGAAGGCACGCTCCAGCTCGCACGCAACGGCCAAACAAAGCCTGTCCTGGTTGACGTTCGCTACGACCTGCAATCCGATCGGTAGTCCTTCCCGGCCCAGCCCCAGCGGCACCGCCGTCGCCGGTAATCCCAAAACATTGATGATACCGGTATAGCTAAAGTTCAACGCCCTCACAAGCGGTTCGTTGTGGTACGGAGCCGCCGTCGGATGGGTCGGATAGATGAACACTCCATTATCTCCGAGCATGCTATTCATCTCCTGCAGCAGTTCGTTCCTCTGCTTGACCATATAGTGGTATTTTTCCGTTCCGTACTGAATGCCCTTCCTCTCGGTGATAGCCGTCATGATACCGACAAAGGTGTGGTTTGATTGTCCCACGATCCACTTGAGCAACTCCACGTACGGATTAATCTTCCCTTCCAGATTGTCCAGCTGCGAATCGAAGGAAATCTCTTCCTTGTTCTTCATGTTGCCGAACCAAATCGGAGCTGATAGACGCATTTTATCCAGGTAGACTTTCCGAACGTCGGCCTTGACGGTACTGCGGAAGTGGGCCATCACCTTTTCCATGGCGTCGCGTATGTCCAGGTCCACGGGTGAAACCAGCAGACCACCACCGTCGTTTTGCTGGAAGAAGAATCGAACCTGCTTCAGGTCGACGGTTTCGTCCAGCCGTAGCTTCTTGGCGTTTTCGTCAGCGATTATCCGCAGTATGGGCTTGAGATCCGTCGCGTAGCGACACATCGGACCGATTCCTGAAATTGTTCGAAATAGATAGTAGGTAGTTACTTATATTTGAAGCACACGAATGATTGAGGGGCACACTCACCCAAAAACATGTCCTGCTCGTCGCAGATCGCTTCCGGGTACTGTCCATCGTTAGAGACGACATGCCGGGACGGTTTGTGCCCGAAGATCCCATTGAAGAACGCCGGCATCCGGATGGATCCCCCGATATCGGAGCCCAGTCCGAAGGGAGATCCGGCGGCAGCTTGAATGGCACCTTCGCCACCGCTGGAGCCACCAACGATCCGGTTGGTATCGTACGGATTCCGGGATCGGCCGTGGATTGTGTTGGTACTTTCCCACCTGGTGGGGTAAAAATGTAAGAACGGTGAATCAGAGGCGTTCCCTGGTTACCCTATTCTCGTATGATGATACGATTCGATTATATATGAAAACGAGTAGTGTAATCAGATGGCAGTTAAGTATGGCTGATAAAAGTAAACAAACCATCGCATTCGGTACCGGCGTTTTGCCGTCGTTAAAGGGAGTATTGAAGCGATTGAAGCAAGTCATTGCTTTGTTATGACTAATTTCACATAGCTGCTGCTTATCGATGTGCGTATGCTATATCTATACGTAATAAGAGTCAATATAGACGTTCATTCTATGGGTGTAGACATAATAGTATCGATTTTAATCCGTTTCGGTTCGACATAAAAGTTGACGTCGTCATGTCCTTAATTATCGAGATACTTTTATGAAATTTTCAGTGCAAATGGAGAATTTTATCTGATCTTTTTTTTTTTGGAAAAATATCAGAACGGTTGTTTTGTCAGACTTATTTTGGTAGGTTTCTAAGCCAAGACGGGTAAAAAAGTGGTCTCATGCGGCTCGTTTATGTTTGAGCTAGAAACGGCAGCTATGTAAACGATGTAAACGTACAATTGAAGTGCTTCTGCTGCTCTTCTTCTTTAATTTCCTCACCATCTTCCGTTTCAATTCATCGCCAACATTCTCGTTGACTCCAGAACTCTGCGCGATCTGTTTCGCAGCTCTTCTTCGATGTAGTTTACGCTTATGTTGAAGAAACCGACAAACCGACATGAAACTTAAACTTAACTCTTGATCGAGAATCCATAACGGCCAGCGATCCCATATGTCAAAACCGTTGAAATGTTTTATCTAGATAAAAATAATTTGTCCTAAATAGATTAGACACGAACCAACTCATAAATTTTGTACGCGTGTTCGTGGCTAGGATAAATATTTTCCGCGAACACGGCGGTGTTAGTTTTGTGCTTTGATCAGAAATTTCTTTGTAATTTGTATGATCATTCTTTGAAATATCTCAACCGCATATCGCACATCTTCAACGCTGACAATGGTTCTGATTGTTTCTGCTTGTAGTCCTTCGTGTGGCGCAGCCATGTTACAACGATCTTCTAAGATCCAAGGGTTTCCAAACACTCGTAACATCATTCCGTTTAAGCTGGTGCGGAAGACCATCTTGATTCCAAAATGCCACAATTTGATTTGAATGCTTTGTCTGATTGTAAGTTGTTGGTTTTCGTGCTGGAATCGAAAGTAGGTGATGATGTCCAACTCCGACAGCAAACGGTTTCTAAGCAGATGCTTCCTCGCAATACCGGTGATGAGATCCGACTTGAGATTGGTTTTTGGCGACATGATTTTTCTTTTTGAGTTATGCTGGCTACGACAATCAAACGGAAACTAATAAAATGCTTGATACTTACTTAAATTGATCTTTATTTCTTTTGTTTGTAATGGGATTATATGTTTGTTGTTATAAGTGATACAGAGGTATCTTTTCATCTTTAGTTTTTTGATACAATCTATCTGCCACAAATGAGCGGATACAGACGCCTAACTAAGCTTGAACACTTAACTAACGTCTTTTTCTATGTGTGCGCGGTATAGGAGCTTTTCATCAAACAACATCCCGAGATAAATTACTTCTGTAGACCACTCGACCCTTGAGCCGTCCATGACTATTGTGCTGGAGGGAGTTGGTTTTAGATTGGGGGATTGCCTGTGCAGGAGTGCAGGAACATAATTGCCTGGGTTTTGGTGGCATTAATTTTGATTTTCCACGTTTTCGCGACACCTTTGCTTGTCAAGGCATCGTGGAAGTTTGTTGGTGATTTCACGAGGCATCCTTCCTTTGACGGATATAGCGGTATCATCTGCGAACAGGAAAAACACGCACCCGTTACCGAGATCGGGTACCTATATCGGAAGTGTATAAGCTGTAAAGCAAGGGGCCCAACAGACTACCTTGTGGGACGCCTGCTGGGATGGATAACGTGTCGAAAAGACAAACATTTAACGCTACCTTGAATGACCTTTGCTGAAGGTAGTTACGGGTGATTTTTATCAGATGTAAAGGAAAGTTGAAGTTGCAAAGCTTGAGTATAAGTCCGTCGTGCCATGCATTGTCAAACGCCCTTTAGTACATCTGACAAGGCCATGGCTGTGGCCTTGTTACATCGGATGTTGTTCATCACCCGTACGTTGTGGAATGCTCCTTTCTGAAATCAAACTGTTCCGGTAGGAGAATATTGCTTTCCTCGACAGTCTTGAGCAAACGGTTGAGAATGAGTTTCTCATACACAGCAAAAAAATAATTTTGATATCACATCAAAGTGGATGCACTTCAATCGTGTCGAAAATATAGTGTAATATTACTTGCCAAAAAGGACAAAATTATCATTAATAGAGTGCATGAACTGACATTACGCTGCTTTTACTGCATTTGTTTATTTCTGTGGCCATAAAAATTACATGAGATTTTCGACATGATTGAAGTGCATCCTCATGAATGTAATATTAAACTTTATTTTTTGCTGTGTACAATTGCTCAGCGCTGAAAGGAGGCTGATCGGTCTGTAGCTAGACGGCAGTGTTGGATCTTTACCCGGTTTGTGAATTGGTATAGTTTTCACCATCTTTCAGATGTTTGGAAAATAGTGCAGTTCCAAGCATCTGTTGAAGATAGCGGTCAAAAGCTTGTATACTTTCGTGCTAAGTCTCTTTAGAATTAAGTAGGTTGAAAACGCCGTCAAAGCCGGGGGCCTTCATATTCTTAGAATATTTCAGCGCTGAGCAAATCTGTTCTACCGTGATTTCATCCTCCGGGGGGACAACACAAGGGGAGGCATCTAAATTGTGAACGCATTGCGTCACCTGACCTGTCACCGGACTTTGGATAGTAGAGCCAAGCAAGTGCGATGCAGCAATATGATCACCAATCGCATTTGCTTTCTCCTTCGGTGTTATGAGCCGAGCGTCATCATTTTCGAGTCTTAGAGGTGGAACAGGTTTGAGATGAGACTTCAGAACCTTGGCTACCTTCCAACACTGACTTTCGTTTCGGAGTGAGTCTGGAAGCAATCTTTCTGTTCAGATCGGCCGTTTCACGTTTTCTGTCCAGATCTCCAGTCCTCTGAAACTGCCGTCTACGAATATTGCTCAAGCGAATCATCATTTAGGTGTGGGAATCAATGGTAGTAAACTTACCCCTCACAGGAACTTGACGGACACATGTCTCGTCAGGCATGGATATGGCCTGATGAATGACTTCCAGCGCCCGGTCGATCTCATCTACGGTGTCAAGCGGCGGATTTTCGTCGATGTTTCTGTCCACCACAGTCCGAACTGGACCCAGTTTACGTGGTGGTAGTCCTTTCGTTGGCGACTTGGAGCAGCAGCCACTTTGATGCCGACTTCAGTCACCACCGGTTGGTGGTCTGAGCTAAGGTCGTTGTGAGTCACCGGTTTGGATATACCGATATTCGTCAGGAAAAAAATCAAGCGTGGAAGGGTTTCCCGTCGGAAAGATGAAAGTTGGTTCATTTGGAAACTCCACTGTGTACAGCCCGTGCTGCGAGTGGTCAAACAGCAAACGACCGTTCGGGTTCCGCTTGTAGTTCCACCAAGCCTCGTAACGAGCATTCAAATCGCCTCCAATGACGATTCGAGAGTTAGTGCGAGTGATGGCAGTCAAAAAATTCTTAAATTTGGCTCCTAATCCGTTGCTGGCGGTACACTGTCGAGGGCAGTACACAACGATTAACCGGACGATTCAAGTGCGGATGTGGGGAAGAGTGACGAACTTGATCCACATTTTGATGACGACCGCAACATCCCCCCCCCCTCCCCCTGGAGTTGGTGTGATCAAGCCGGATGATGGTGTGGTTAGGCAACCAGAAGCTGTCGCCGGACTTAAGGTAAGTCTCAGTAAGGAGCCCCACGTCGATGTTGTGCTTGCGGAGGAAATTGGCAGGTTCAGTCTTTTTTGCTCGTACAGACCAAGCGTTCCAGGTGACGATAGTTAACGGGTTAGACGCCATACTGAATAATGAACTTACTGAGCACTTGTATCTGTTCGGGCGAACTGCGCTGGTCATGTAAACAAAAATCTCCATCAGTTCACCGACTCTGAACAGATCAGGATTGTTGGCTTGTGCTGTTCGATGACTCCGGAATCTAGGGGGATGGAGAGCTTTGTCCAGCAGAAGCGCTATTCTTGAGAGGGGGCGAATCGGGTCCACGGATTCGCAGAACCCTGTTTCGTTGGGCGGAGTGGCGGAAAATCTTTCGGTCTAAAGGCTGGTGCCTTCTCCTTCCTTCGTCCTGGTTTATTGTTTGCAGACGCCTGATTTCGGATCCGCTTGAATTCTTCGCGTTTGATGCACTGTTTGTTGTTTCCTTGATGCGCTTCTCCACAGTTGATGCATTTTACCACCGCAGCTTCGTCCGCACATTCGGTTGTGGCGTGATTTTGGGCACATTTTCCACAACGCGGTTTGAACTGGTAATTACGGGTGCCGTGTCCGAAGTTCAAACAGCACTGGCACTGGGTCACATCGCGATGACCGCCACGATATGGCTCCCATCGAACAAAGATCGAGTTGATTGAGCGGATGGCTTTCAACGCATTTAGCGTCACCGTGCCCTTCGGGAAATGCACCAAGAATAGGCAGTCCGAATATGCCTTCGCGGTCTCGTCCTTCCTCGTGATTCTGAAAACCGCGATGGGAGCCAGCTTGTACCGGTTTCTAATCTCGACCTCGATCAGCTTCGGGTCGTAGTTTGGGAGACCTCTGACAACCACCTTAAATGGCCTCTCACCAGGGATGTCATGCTGCTGCACCTACAGCATTGATATTTTCGGCAGCGACGCCGAAGTCGATGACGTTCGTTGCGGCAACATCATCTTGACCACTCGCACCATCGGATTGGCGGTTCTTCCTTCTCTTTTTGCTGCGTTTTTCCTTCGCAGACGGCTGGCTGTATACTTCATCGGTGGGGAGAGTGGCGTATCTATTTGAAATAGGTACGCCACTTCTTGAGGCTCCTTCACCGGGATTTTCCCCGCGTTGAATGCTCCGCGAGCGACTTCGTCCCATATCAGGGCACGCACACTAACACGATGCGACAGAATCAACTGTCACCGCAAACAAACGCTTGATTCACTTGTAAGTACGTTTAGACAGAGCGAATGAAAACCCGAACTGAACTGCTCGACGTTCAAGCAGCGAATTAATGATGTTCTTATGGTTCTAAAATGCTTGATTCCTTTCCGCTTATACATAATATGTATAATATATGATATATTATATCCTCCGATTGAATTCTAGAAATTTCAAAACAAATGTTACCATGTGATAACACAAAAACATCAAGATTTTCAAGGTAGTAGGCGATTTTGTATTTGACGGTTTCATCGATAAGTTGGTTGTTGTTGAATATGCGGTAGGTAATGAAATTGTTCACATTTTATTCCGCAGTAAATCCCGCAGTAAATCCCGCATAACTTTATAGAGAATTAAAAGAAGGGCTAAGCTGTCTTTGTCAAAGGTTTTCTTCATAAAACATTTCATATTTCTGTTGTATTTAATTTATAATAAAATACAGGATTGATACCCACTTTTGATATTTAAAGACCAAAAAGTACCTAAAAACTCACCGTTTTAGAGATTTTTAAAAAAATCAACAACTAAAATTTAACACAAAGAATGCCATTACAATTTTTTCTAGTTTTAACCTGAGGAGAAAGGTCATATAAAACGATAAGGTTTTACTGAAATTGGAACATTTAAAAATACTTTTTCGATGAACGAAAAACGGACTTTTTTTTCAAAAATCTCTATGGGCCGACCTCTAAAAAACATTTCCCAAAGTTGCCGTCATACAAAAGTTTATTTCTTATACCCTTAGCTATTATTTGGAGGGTGGGCCCCCAGATTTCCTGACAAAGTGCAATTTTGGGCCAACATAATGATCACTCTTTAAATAAATTCACTCTAAAAAAGTTGAAAATAGTGACTCAATAGAAGAAAAAGTGACGGCCTTAAAAAAGATACTTTTTAATGACTGACTTGAAAAAAGTTACCAAGTCATGCTACCAGCCCTGAAGTTGCTACTCTTTGTTTGCTGTCGCGCAACAACCGAGGAGTAGCAATCTTGTAATTCGACAGTGAGCATGCATAAGGGCGTAACGGCGATGATCTATTTTCTCTTTTGTTAAATTCGCTTGGATTAACATTTCTCGATGCGTTTGTTGTTGTTGCTTTTGATAGCCGAGGTTACGACATAGTATTGGACAAATTTTAGAAAATTCCTTCCCCTATCTGTAGCAATTTAAAGAGAAAATCGATAAAGAGAATCGATCATCGCAGTTAGGCCCTTATGCATGCTCACTGTCGATTTGTATGTTTTGTGCAAGCTGAACATTGCATTAGGTCCAATGTAACATTGACAGATTCTCTTCGTCGACTTTCTCTTTGTATTCTCACGGCCATGTAAAGACATTCCCAGGTATTTTCAGCACACATATCGAAGTTATTAACGAAAGAGAAAGTCGACGAAGAAAATCGATCAATGTTACTTAAGACCTAATGCAATGTTCAGCTTGATTTTTGCTTTTGAAGTTTCATGCTAAGGTTTTCTTTGGTTATCTCCTTAAAATGTCTAAACCGTCTAAACAGACGTAATAACACCAATAACACCGAAACCGACTGAAAACACCAAACTCATTTTTAGACGCCATAATAGCTGAAAACCGAAGAACGTGCCAATAGGGTCTTAGTTTGGCTAGTTTTCTTTATTAAAGAGGCTTTCAGTCTTTGGCTAGTTCGCCTCTGGGGCTCCAGATAAAATAGTTTACAAATTAAGAGTTAAAGCGCCAAAATGTGCCCCTATTTGGCATTTTATCGTCGGCATAAAAGCACGACAAGTCCAGTTGTTCTAATTGCTTGCACAAACTGACGCACAAAATTGAATACTCATTCAATGGGTATGAACATTTTTCCATTAAGTTTGGATAAGTATTGATCCTTTACCCATGAGAAGTATACAATTCATAAACAAAAAGATCAACACGTGCCATTTCAAGCTTCAAGTGCACCGCCGACCCTGAGGTCAATGATTTCCCATGAAGATTTCCCACGTCAATCCCGGCGGTCGCGGGTGGTGTTTTCTATTTACACTCCTTACTCGAATGTGTAAACAAACATAATTGGAGCATGTACACTTGCGGTGAAACAGTTTTCGATTCACAAACACACACACACTCTCAATTGTAAACAAAGCTCCTTACTCTAATTTTACAATGCCGCACAAGATTGATGATCCACTCTCGAAGTAAACAATCAAACAAATCTTGTGTTTGTATTACCCCGTTCGAGTGTTGTTTACCAACTGTCTAAGTAGATCCCTAATACTGTATGCCCAGCCAGTTACACAGACGCACTTACCACATGCAGCACTCGGAAACATTCGTCAGGGCGAACGGAATCGCTCCGGCCTTCCTCATCAGCTCCATGGCGCGCGCATCCTTTTCTCCGCGGATCGACCGTCGCTTCCATATGCCGGCCGTATGGAGAAGATCTAGGCAAAATACCGTCATGATTAACGACATGTTCTCTATACCGCAACTGGGTGCTCTTACCCTTAACTCTGATGCAGTCTTTCGTTGAAATTGGAACGCCCAGGAAGGGCTTCTCGGTGGCAAGTTGTTCCTCGGTGAGCGTTTCCGAGGCAATTAGTTTGTCCGCCTTTTGGGCGTCACTCAGGGCTGCCTTGTAGCACTGGTCGACGACGCAGTTCAGCAGCGGATTGATCTCCTTGCACCGCTCGATGAAGGCCTCCGTCACTTCTACGCTGGTGAGCTGAGGAAACGAAACAGAAGGGAAGTTAGCAGATTTTGCGAGGGTATTTAAAAATTGTTTTCACCATTTGACGCGGGATAATTTTTCGGGTTGGAAAATTTCACGACTTCCCTGGGCATAGAGTATGATTGTAGTTGCCACATAATTAAAGTAATGCAAAAATGGAACAAGCATCGAAAGCTCTCAATTAATAACTGTGGAAGTGCATCTAGAATGCTGAGCACGCAATAAGCTAATATGCGATAAGCAATAAGCTTGAAATGCGAAGAAGCAGAAGAAGAAGAAGAAGAAAAGTCGCGTACTTAATTGACAGGTTCATAGGGGGAATAACCCTGATGCTTGAAGAGCTTTACCGATGATCACTTGATATCAAGCACTTTCGTAATTCCTAAACAAATCCATGCCTAAGTCCAGCTAATTCCATCCCACTGAAAATAATCCACTAGAAAAATGTGTACAGTCCTAAGGTCCGTTTCAGTAATCAACTCCTCCTACCTACATTGAACGCTATGGTAATTATACGGTTCGAGTGCTACACGGCCAATGAGAACGACCCAAGTTTGAGTTGAGTTTACTCATAAATCAGAAAGTGCAGCGATGAGTAAATTTGCCTCATGTTTTTCCAGGTTTGTCCAGGAAAACATTCCCGAATATGAGAAAAGTTAAGATTGGATTAACTCAGTCTACTGGTACTACTCCTAGACTGAGTAAAATTTTCGTCATTTTTTCCGGCAGATTTTTGAGGTTTTCCACATGAGGCAAATTTACTCATCGCTGAGTTCCTGCATTTTTGGCGATTATGAGTAAACTAAACTCAAATTTGTGTCGTTCTCATTGGCCGTGTATATTACAAATCGCTGAATACCAAGCCAGATCTTAAACCGTGGCACATGCATCACCACGCTTATCTCACCGAATGCAATTCAAATGCCCGCATTCGTCGCCGCCCGCATTCACATAATTAATCGATACGGTTCATTCAATATTTACACTTACCTTCCTCGTGCGGATCTTCTGGGCCAGTGACGAAGCGGATTCCATCAGTATCAGGTTCCGGATCGGTGGCATCTTCTGCCCGTGCTCGCCGTAGATCATCTTCAGGAACCATCGCACCAGCAGGACCAGGAACTTGTGACCCACGTTGATGGCCGTTTTGACCACGGTCCGTCGTTTGCGTTTATCTACAAAACTGTGCTGCTTGCTGCTGTTTGGTGCTACTTGGTCGTCCATTGTGTTCGGATTTGTGCACGTATTCAAAGTTCTCAGCACGGATTTCGCTTTATGCCTTAGCCGATCTCGTAGTCTCATCTGACGATGACTCCCGCCGCGGTGCCGGTCGAATAGCAACTACTAACTCCTGTTGTACTAGTCTAGTAAGTACGACGATGGAGAGTGTGTGTACTAAGCTGTTACTCTCTCTCTCTCTCTATCTCTCGCTCCGAATGGGGGGTTTTCTTACTCTCTTTCGGCTCAAGTACTGACTGCACAACGAGTGGTCCTCTGGAAAAGAATAATGTTATACAAGATATGAGTAAATAATCACACTTTTTTGCCGTACTTTAGTCGGATCGAAAGGCCCATTTAGTTCTTTTGTTTGCACACTGTCGTCTACTCATATTTAGTCTGATTACATGGCTGGTAAGTGTTTTGGTCAACGACCTTTTTCGCGCACGTCTACAGCAGGTTACATGGCGTTTTCTTTAATGTGGAACTGGGTCTGGGTCATTCGAGCTCAAATTTGTCGAAAGTGCTGTCTGTTGTAACCTTTGTAACGATTTGTTCTTATCGGTATATCAGCTCTGCTCCACTTGTCGTAATGCCGTTTGGCGTAAATTCGAAAAAAAGGTTACTGTAAGTGAGCGTATTTAGAAGTAAGTGTTTGGAAAATCATTCATTGAAAACTCATCGGTGATTTTTGCGCAGTTGAATTTTGCAAGGCAAAAAAATGCTACTTGTTTTCCTGAATAATAAATCGAGACTACCATTTGAAAAGGGCTTAACTTTTCTTAATATGTTTTCTTACAGAAAATTGTTCTATAAAAATAAAAAATCTACACAAGTTTCCGTTAAATAGTGAGTTATAGAAAATGGATTGATGCACTTTACGCACTACTGACAGCATAGCACCTCATTCCTATGAACAAAAAGTTATTCAAACAAATATGTTTGGAGGTTTGAACATTTTTCCAAAAATATCGATTTTAGAAGCGATAATAGAAAAAAAATATTTGGTTGGCCAGCTCGGTTCTAATTTAGTAAAAATCAACATTTTTCTGTTTTCTGTATACAAAATAAATCGCTGTACCTAGCAATACATGTTGCGAAAATCAGCCAAGTTGCAAATCTGTTGATTAAATTCTAAAAAAATATACAGTTCTACACTGAAAAAAATAAACATATATTTCTTAGAAAATCGATATTTTAAAATTATGAAACTTTTCGAAGATACATTGCAAAATGGGCCTTTTATAGGAAAAAAGTTTTTCCAATGTCCAATGTAAAAAATTTAAAATTTGTGTATGGACAATTATCTACGCAGAGAGAGGGAGGGTCAAAAATCCCAAAAACTGTCTACGTAGTTAATGAACAGCCCCTAAGCTGCTGGAAAGTTTTGGAAAAAAATCCGAAAACTTTTATTAAATCGAATAAAATTTTGGGAGCAAATGCATATTTTTGGAAAATTCTGAATACTTCAGGAAAATTCTGCAAAATTTAGCAATTACCAGGGAACTTCAGGGAAGTCTGTGAACTTCAAGGAAGTCTGTATTCTTTAAAAAACTTCAGAAAATTGTACTAAATTAGAGATAGTCTGTGAGTTTCACGGAAGTTTGCAAACCTGTGTGAACTCCGAAAACCTCTGGGAAATTCTGCGATCTTCAAAAGTATTCTGCAATTTCAATAAAGTCGGTGAGTTTCAGGAAAAATCTGCGAACTTCAGAAAATTCTGCAAATAACACAAATGTTGACCAAACTTTTGTAAAGCTCTGCAAATTTCATGAACTTCAGAGAGGTCTGTGAACTTCAATTAAGTCTACGAACTTCAGGAAAATTTTACTTACATCAAGAAAGTCTGCAAATTTCTGGAAAATTCTGACATTTTAAAAAATATTCTGCCAACTTCAGTAAAGGCGACGAACGTCATGAAAATTTTCAGAACTTCAGTAAAGTCTGCTTCCACCACGAAAATTCTGCGAACTTTTTAAATCGCTGCAAGTAACAGGGAAGTGTGCAAACTTATAAAAATATTAAAAATAATACACGAGCCTGAAAACTTGAAAAACTATTCTGAGGATTTCATAGAAATCTCTGAGCATCTGCAGGTTTTTAACTAATTTATTATCATACTGGTATCATGGTTGAATATCTGATAGACGATATTAGAATTTCTGGACATTTGAAGAACTTCAATATAAAACTTGATCTATTCACAACTTTAGGTATTTTTTCCCAGAACTGAAGGGAAGTTCTTCCCAGAACATTAGAAAAGTGTTTTCCAGATTTTTAGAAAAAGGTTTTTCCCAGAACTCTTGGGAGGTTCATCTCAGAACTTTAGGCACGTTCTTCCAAGAATATCAAGGAAGATCTTCTCAAAACTTCAGGAAAGGTTTACCAAAAATTTCAAAGAAGTTCTTCCTAGAGCTTTTGGGATTGTTTTTTTTTAACAAAACTTCAGCAAGACCCTTCTTGAAACTACAGAAAAGTTCTTCCCAGAACTCCAGGGAAGCTTTATCCAAAACTTCAGAGCTGTTCTTCCCAAAATTTGAGGGAAGTTCTATCCAGAACTTGAGAGAAGTTCTTCCCAGAATTTCAAAAAAGTTCTTCTCAGAACTTCAGAAGAAGTTATTTCCTGAACTTCAGTATAGTTTGTCAAAAAACTTTAGGAAAGTTTTCCATGAACTTCCATGAAATTCTTCCCCTATATTCAGGGAAGTTCTTCCCAGAACTTTAAGAAAGTTCTACCCAGGCCTATAGAGAAGTTCTTTCTAGAACTTCAGAAAAGTTTTTCTGAACTGTAAACTGCAGTAAAATACTCCCAGAACCTAAGGGATGTTGTTCCCACGCACTAAGATTTTGTTGTCGTGTTCGGTAAATTTTACCAAAATCAGAACAGCTGAACGTTCGTTAAAACTTTGACCTTCATTTTAAAGTCCATTGAATTAAAAATAATTTCAAAATATGTTCAACCTTATTTTAACGATCAAATCTTGTCATTTTAGTGTAGATTTACTTTCAAAGTAACTGAAAAGCAATTGAATTAAATTGCATAAATTTTACCGAACAGTTCAGCTATTCAGGTTTCGGTAAAAATGACCGAAGTCGGCGATAATTTCTAAGTGTGTAGTACTTTTGGGAAGCTCTTCCCAGAACCACAGAAAAGTCCTTACCTCAAGTTCAGGAAGCTACCTCCCATAATTTCAGGTAAGTTATTCCCTGAACTTGAGAAGAAGTTCTTCCCAGAACTTTAAAGAAATTCGTCAGAGAACTTTAAGTAAGTACTTCTTAGAACTTAAGGAAATTTTCTCACCACTTCAGGTATGTTCTTCCCAGAAGTTTAGGGAAGTTCTTCCCAGATCTTGATGGAAGCTCATCCCAGAACTTAAGGGATTTTCTTCTCAAAGCTTGAGGAAGTTCTTCTCAGAACTTTAAAAGCACAAGCAACACAAATCTGTGGCAGAATCTTGCAGCAACTTGAATGTGACTAAAATAAGTTACTTTCAAGTTTCCTCAACAATGTTGCACCAAGTATACTGCTAAGAAAACTTAATTTCAGTGAAGTTTTATAAACAAACTATAGGGGTGTCAAGAGAACTTTGGAAATATAGAGAACTTGTGGAAAATTGTGGAAACTTTTAAGAAGTTCTAGTACCTCTGAAAAGCTAGATCTAGAGATCTTTGAGGAATTCCAGAGATCTTAAATCCAGTACCCGTAACTTTTGTTCATACTTTTGGAGCAGTTTAAAGACTTATAAGCGTGAGTTTAGAAAAATTCAGGATGTTCCATGATGCGCAGCAAAAAAAATCGAGAACCCTTTCGAGAAATTTAAGGAAATACCGAGACTTTCAGATAATTAATGAACACTTCAGAAATATTTCAGGAACTTCACAGAAGTCCAGAGAATTTCAGGGAAGTTTAAATGTGTTTATGAGAATTCCATTTACTGAAGATGAAAACTGAGACATTCAATAGAATTGAGAGCTTCAAGGAAGCTCCGAGAACATCAAGACAGATCAGAGAACCAAGGGGCAGTTCAAATAATTTTATGGAAATTGCAGAAACCTTAAAGAAGTTTCGAAAAACTCAGAGAATTTCCGGAAACATCAGCAAAGCTGAATTTCTGGAGCGCTATGAAAATTGTTTGAACATCCGGAAAATGTGAGAGTATTTTAATGGTGTCGTTACAGCTGAAAAACCCCAATAGCGAAAATCGATTTTACTCTCGTTCTATACGTTTAAGTGTAGGAAGTAGTGTTCATTATAGCGCCTCATGGTGCAATTACAGTGCACTTCTTCCGACACTATGCATAAATCAATATCATGGAAATTTCAAGAACTTTAAAAAAAATGCAAGAACTTTTAGCAAGCACAGATATCTCCCAGAAACTCCAGAGATCTTTAAACAAATTTAGATAGTTTCATGATATGCTGCGAAGTTCCGAGTACTTCGGGACAATTAGATAACTTCAGAATAATCCTTTAAAGAAGACTTAAAGAAATTTGCAGCTACTTACAAGGAGTTCCGTGGAAGAGAGTTCTATGATTGATTGAAAAACTTCAGAAGCATCAGGGAATTATGGATATATATTAGACTGATGCAAATTTTGACATTTTCGCTCCACAGTGCTCAAACGGTTCCAAATCGGGTCCTGATTAGTCTCCCAAAATTTGAAATCATTCGATAAGAAACTGACTTGGCACAAACCATTTGAAGTTTATATGGAAATTACTATAGGAAAACCAAATATTTTGTTCATATCCATCTAACAATTTACCATATCGCTCTGCTTTAAAAAATGATAACTTATCTCGTAGAAAATTTTCTCAGCTACAACTTTGTCCTTAACCACTTTTCAATATAATGTAAGCATCAAAAGTTATCAATAATTCAAGCCACTAATGTCTTACGATTATGCTCAATCAACTGTTCAGCTGGCAACATTGGTGTTTCTGGCGCTTGGAATACAGCACAAAAATCATGGCTACTATGTCACACTGCAAGATACAGTGTTGCTCACAAAACAGCTGCTTGATCATGCCATAAGATTATCAATCTCTTAAAAAATTAATAACTATTTTATTTGACGTTTGGCTCAACAACTATATTCTGCTAAGTTGAAGCAGAGAAAATCTTCCATAAGTATAGCTTTTGAATTTTCGAACAGTGCAATATGGAAAGAGGTAAAAATACAATGAACAAAAAGTTTTGATTTCCCATAGTAATTTCCATATAAATTTCAAATGGTTTGTGCCAGTCAGTTTCTTTGCAAATGAGTTCAAATTT